GCGTACCTTAGGTGACAAAAAGTCTTGGAATACCACTATACAGAATTTAGCATTTTTAGCCCCATAGACTTTTAAATGGGAGTGCCTGAAAACCACACATAAACAACCTTTTTAAAGGGTGTTCCCAAAACCCTTCAATCTGCCTGAAAAGAAGCTCCTGTACTTTTTGGAGTGACAAGCGTCTTGCTACAGGCATTTGAGCACTCAGGTGTGAACAGGCACCATAGAACACAATGGGATTTTGAATGTTGAGCATTTTGTAGGTATGAGCTACAAGACATTCAGCTGTGGATGGGACCTTAGTATTGTTCTCGGTTCCCTTTGTGGCCTACAGAACATCTCCCCATGTGTTATGGAGAAGCAGACAGGTAACCTGTAGTTCAAAAACACTTCTTGTCCTGCGGTAACAATGCCACTCCTCCTTGGATACAATACAGTGAGTGTTGTCAGCCAGTGTGTTACTGGCCTTTATTCGATCTTATTGTGAAAGTCAGAGCTAATATATGGACAGGCGTGTCCAGTGGCATACCTAGTTTGCTTGACATATGGATGACATACTGTATGGACACATGCTAAAAAAAAACAAGGCTTTAATAGTGGTGCACTTTGTGGTGAAGCGTAAGGATAATAGTGGTGCACTTTGATAGTCACAAACCTACAGGGGACTAAACTATAGTAATATGGTCCAATAAACAGTGGTGACTTTACAATACACCATGCAATACACAATGGGGGGAATTTATCACAACTGGAGCATACAGAATCTTGAGCAGTTACCCATGGCAACCAATCAGCATCTCTCTTCAGTTTGATCAGGTAAGATTTGAAAATGAGAAAGAGAAGCTGATTGGTTGCAGTGCAAATCTGCTCCAATTTTGTCTGCTCCAGTTTTGATAAATCCCCCCCAATGCATTTCCTGGCAATACATGTGCCTCAAATAGGCAATTGTATACAATACACAGGCAACAATCAGTTAACTGTTGCAATACACAAGCAGCAAAAAGGCAATCAATACAATACGCATGCCAAAAAGCATAGCAATGCATGTAATGTGCATTGTTGTAGCACGTGCATTACCGCAACACAAATAGATGAATGGGCTCTCAAAGGCACATGCACATCAACAAGGGGAGGTAGTGAGGAGAGACAGCCAGGGGAAAGAGAACGAGGAGAGACAGCTAGGGGAGAGAGCGAGGAGAGACAGCCAGGGGAGAAAGCCAGCGAAGAGAGCAAAGAGAGACATCCAGTAGAGACAACCAGGAGGATGAGTGAGGAGAGACAGCAGGGGAGAGACTGAGGAGAGACAGCCAGGAGAGAGACTGAGGAGAGATAGCCGGGAGAGAGACTGAGGAGAGACAGCCAGCAAAGAGAGCGAGGAAAGACAGCCAGGAGAGAGAGCTAGGAGAAATAGCCAGGAGAGAGAGTGAGGAGAGATAGCCAGGGGAGAGAGCTAGGAGAGACCATCAGGAGAGAGAGAGAGGAGAAACAGTCTGGAGAGTGTGCCCTTCAAGACTTATCTGCACTCTGTTTCATACACCTCCTTGCTCCACGAGTTCCAGCATCCCTCCGTGTCCCATGCCTCTTCCATGCACTCAAGTTGGCACACCAGGACCCCGTGGTTGACCCTGTCCATCTGGCATCATGACATCTTGTGTCCAGGTTGCAGCCTGAAACCCAGATATAGCACATACAGGACTTAAACCCAGTATATCACAGAAATCACTGCGTTGGGAATGCGTGCCTAACTACCTGATTGGACCAGCCGCAACAATGTGTATAGGTGAACAAATGTAAAGCAAATATGTTGCGCTCGGTCTATGTGAACCAACTACACACTAAAGTGTTAATAAACAAATCTGTGTAAAATTACAACAATCCGTGTGAAAAAATTGATGCAAGTGGATTATTTACATATGACTAGAAGGGTCAACACACAAACATATTAAGAATAATAAAAATCAACACTGGAACCTTCAGAATTAGTGCCAGTGATCAAACAACTAAAAAATCGGGCTTTTGAGCGTTAGCAGCACTCAGCTAAGAGAGATGAAGGCAGGTTTTCCTTTGACATGTTTCGTTCAATGACTTTCTCAAAAAGAGAAACGCTAACGCTCAAAAGCTCGATTTTTTCGTTCTTTCCGTAAGTGCATTTGAGTTCTTTTATGAAATAAATATTTGTGTTATTGCACTTAGATAGCCTCCTCTTTGTCTCCTTCAAATTTTTCCCTGGGGGACACCATCAGGTGAACGCCGCCATTCCGGGCGGCGAGGGATCAGGTGACCGAAGGAGAAGGAGAGACCCACGCCGGTACTTGACAAGGAGACATTAGAAGGGGTTGGAAAACCAGAACTTTAAAAGACCTCTTTAACAAGGAGCCCCTCTTGGGGAATTGTCATTGAATGTTTGGAGGACTGCCGGACAGATTGATCAAGTGTCACTGAGAGAAGGAAGTTGCCCTTTCTTAAAGTGCTGTTCGTTGGTTATGCATGTAATGATACATGCCCTTTGAAATGTCAGTTTCTTTAGTGCTTTACATTTGCTTTACACAGGACTTAAACCCAGACTATCTGAGTGAATCCTGGACAGGTGGCATTCCTAATCCGTGTTCAGAGGCAGCAGTGTATAGAATAGTGTTTATTTTACCAACGCTTAGCTGGCATGCGTTCGGACACCCTAGCTTAAGCTCCATAGAAAACCACGCTTATTAGTAAATTCCCAATATGTACATTGGAGCCTGTATGCACATGGTGGGTGCATAATAAATATTTGAGGATACAATTTGCTTATATGCATTCTATTCAGGTCCGTCCCTATAATGATCCCATCCCTATAACCCCATCTCTTTGGGTCACATGGGGAGGCAGCAGGTGAAGCGGCATGGCCGCTCTGCTGCACAATGTTTGCAGTGTGCCTGCCGCCCCCTTTCTCGCCAGAGCGTCCCAGGTTGCTAAGAGTCAGGA